GGACCAGAATCAGAAACCCAGCAACCCGCATCCCAAATACCACGACGGCTCCTCGGGACCCAGGCACTGATCAGAGAGGCGCAAATGCTCATCGAAGGCCTGGCGACCATGCTTTCAGAAACGACTTGGCGGTTTTGCATGGCTTAAAAGCCTTAGGCTTAGGCCGTTCCAAGTGACTTGTGCTGGTGGTTGCGAATGGCGACGATTGTGATGACGATGCTGGCAGGTGGTGGGGGAAGAAGACCATCACCGTGCTAGCTGTAGTGAACATAGTGATCGTGTATAGCCCTCATAGCGCTTCACATGGTGCGTGCGATTCATGTCCAGGAGGTTGTTTCGCAGCCGGCGATATCGACACCAGAATACTGCCACACTGTAAGATGTGTCCGTATGTGCACATATGTATACCTGTGAACATGCATCATATGTACATGTACACATATACATGAACTCGATCGACATCTCCCGCAAAGCTATGATAGCCTCAGGAATAGCTTGCAGTGCCTGGTGAAACACCACCGAGTGCCATAGCGATTGGAAGAGGCAGGAAAGCCAACCTAGGATTCGCATGGCATGTATTGTAGGGCTTTAACTTTTAGAATAGTAAGGAGTTGTGGCCCCATGTTACGGGGTTATATGGTTTATTTAGGCTGTACAGTAGAAAGTGGCATTTTGTCTGAACCGAGATTCGGAAGCAGTTCCGTCCGCCATGACGCAATACTACCCTTGTCTCACCACTGCTTCATTACCGGTTAAGCCCTTAAATATCAAACAGGAGGACCGCCAATACACATTCAAGAACCGTTTTCATGATTACTTTTCAGAGGGATTTCCCGGACAGTTGTTTTATTGCGAGTGTGTTTAATACATGGGAGAAGGGATTCCACCAACTTGGCTGCAACCTGGTTCACTGGTTCCCACTGAGGTACAGAAATGAGTTGAAAGTGAAAGACCAATTCATACATCCTCCGCATCCCGTGCAGTCTCCACCACTTCACGGTCAGCTCAAACCATTGGACTTCGATGAACGGCAAAGTGTCGCGTGCACATTTGCAGTCCAAACGCATGTCTCCGCCTCCGGGTTGGCGAAGTCACCTTATGTGGATTCCGTCGGTGATGGGATAGCAGTCAATGAGCTTAAGCCGAACCCTGTGGAGGTCCATCTTCGTGTTAACTTGAAGTAGTCGGGAGCACGAGAGACCGTTTCGATAATGGGTTTTTGTTGCAGCATGTTGACAGAGAGCCGGTTCGGGGCTAGAATTCTTCATGAGTTCTACTCCTGGCCCCGGTTGGTGACAAAGCTTCTGCTCAGAAACAAAAAATGCTTGGACAGCGAAAAGACTCGGTGAGCCAATCCGAAAACCAACCTTATGTACTAGTAGTTTCAGCAGTTGGCAACTCAAACCCTGAAGCTCCAAAGCGGTACCCTGACGAAGCGCTCCATACGTGAGACGCACAAAAGCCCAAATAACTGCCTCAACAACATGTGGTGGCTTCCCTGACCTTAGCTTTGAAGAAGTTTGTCCTCGTCATGGGGCTTTCTAGGCCATCAATTGAAGACAGCGCTCTTTTACTTTCCGACAACACTCTGCGCAAATATCGAGCACAAAAACCAAACTTGGATGCACATGGGCCCGCAGGCTGACGTTCTGACTGCCAGGCGGAAGTGCGGCTGCTCAGAATCACAACACTTGCTACTTCGCCATGATTGTCAGATCGGCCGTTATCGCATATCACGAACCTTTTGACTTGCACATATAGGCTGATGACCTTCATCACCATGACAGCGATTGTTCTATGGTTTCGGGTGGGGTGGAGTTGCCACAACTCTTACAATCGGTTGTTGAGTGTGCTGTCGACTCTTTCAGTGCTGCTGGCGAAGGACGAGGATGGCAAAAACAGATGCGGACGATGACCAGGCCGACGATAATGCTGAATCTGGTGGTGGCAGCGATGGTGATGGTCTTGAGCACGTTTATGATGATCATAAAGGCCGTGCTTGGCAGTGGTGATAGCATGGCAGTAGTAGCCGTGGTGGTATGATGATGACGGCTATCGTTTCATTATGGTCACTGTGCTGGTGACAGACAGAGTCGACAAAGCTGCTGACGAATACAGGGTGATAGTGGCAAGGTTCACGCGGAAGACGACAGCTTGCTATCATCATGATCATCTATGGAGACGGTGACTTTTCGGACCATGGTATTCGGTCCAGTCGTTGCTGCCGACAATAGACAGCGAATGACAGCAGCACCCGTTACAACTTGAAGAAATATCCCACGAACGCACATCATGTAATGCTCAAGCAGAAGAGTCTGTCGACGACTCTGTCTTTGAGGTTCTGGAAATTTGTGGGGCCGTGAGCACGCAGGAAGCAGCTGCCAGCTAACAAACTCTTCCAGTAGCCAAGTGTAGAGCCACCTCTGCACCCTGCGGCAGGATGCCGTTTTGAGGGATGCAGCCGCGGGAGACCAACACTCATTCAGCAGCACGCTGTTGCGAGTAGAGGCGAAGTCAGCAATCAGGGTTCGACGATTTGACAATCGTTCAGGGCTTGGGGGGAAGACTCGAAGCCTGTCTCGCAATTTCTCGCTGCCCACGCAGAATTTCAACCTAATTCAAAACGAACGGTAGAGCTTTGGTCCCCCAACTCTAGAGCTCCAAATCTACAGAGACTCCATATCACAAGTCGGGTTGATGGCTCCATTTAAAAGTCTCGCTACCTAAAGCCTCCACACACCTTTCAACCCTTTATCAGCAAGGGTAATCCCCGTCTGAATCTCGCAACAGCAAGCTCTGCCACCAGCTTGGATTCAACCGATGAGGCAGCGATCTTCGCAGCACTCGTCGTGAAACTCCGAAGTATCCTTGGAGACATTAGCAAAAGCCCACCCTTTGCAACCCAAAACCCGATTTCTAGATCCTGCAAAAACACACGCGTGAACCCTGCGAAACCAAACCCTTGACATGATACACCTGGAAGTTGACCAGTAGAGCCAACCCAAGGACAAGAGAAGCAAGTCTCATGTGCCCAAAGCTGCGGCGCGGGAGTGGGCTTTGTGTACTACGCGCATTTCCATGAGTGCATATGTCTATCGTTGTTGTGCTAAGTCGGCTTGATTATCAGAGTCTTGGGGTTCTTGATCTTGAAACGCTCTGGTCTATAAAAAATATATAGGTTGGCCCTTTAAAGCCTCTGAAAAATGTTCGTCAATAGGGTCCTATTAAGCCCAATAAGGGAAAATGTAAAATGTGCCAAAGGCCTACCTAGATATCAATGTAAAAGTAGGGCCTCGGGTCTTCTCGACAACACAGGTTCTGGCAGGCAGGGCCTTTCTCCGTCGAACTTGCAAACTTTCGGTTGGATAGAATAGATTCATTTGATACAATTTAATTGGATGTGAGATGATATAATGTAATGTGGCGTGATATACTTTGCTACCAGTTACTGTACCATCTTATAACGGAATAATGTTACAGCGTAGTCTGTGAGTATAGTATCATGAGAGCCTCTCCCAAACATTATTCGGCTTGTAAATCTTCGTCCGTTACCTCGTTCCTGCCCCACTTCTCGGGTCCAAATCCCCGAACCTTCGCAGGAATTCTGACGGACATGACCAGCCGTTGCTGGGCGGGCTCCAATAAGCACTGTGCAAGCAAACGCGCCGTCTGCACTGTTGTTCACTTTTGACCCCTGAAATCTGGAAGTTGGGCTGGGGATTAACGGTTCGGGTGTCGTCTGATCGCATGCGTGCCTTGGCACCGCAGAAGGGGGATCTGCCCAAGCGCGAAAGTCCAAAAGCACAAACCCAGTAAACCCCAACTTTTGGACTACCGTATCCCTGAACCCTGATTCCTGAAAGCCTATAAATGCTATAGCTGCGGAGGCCGCCCCATAAGCTTCGACAACAGCACATCTCGAGCGCCCGGAAAAGAAGCTAAACCGCACAGCAGGGTATGTGCATCCCAGCCAAAGCAACCCACATTGGGAGCTCGAAAGTCATGGACTCAGGGTCAAAGCCTAGCTAGGGTTTGGGAGTTTCGGGATTGAGGCCTCACCGGCTCAGATGGTTTCGGGTGCACAAGATAGTTTAGGTGTTAGGGGTTTGCAATTCATTTATTTCTGGGCTTAAGCTGTCGGGTTTCGAGTGTTGCGTATTGCAAGCAAAAAATGATGTTGCGACCTTGGAGTTGACTTTCGATCGGTTAAGCTCACTAGCGGCTCTGCAGAGTATCTCTGTCCAGCTATCCTCGAGTCAAAGAGGCACCTTGTGAACAAACATAGCGACACACTCTAGGATACAAACTGCAGCAGCAGCCATAAACGCGATGACAAGCCTGATCTTCAAAGCCAGATACCACGAAGCACCGGCTGACTTGCCGTGACTTCACCGCAATCTTGCAGAAAGCCATGCAGGTTCAGCCACGTGTTTAAGTTCAGTCCAAACGAAAACGAAGGATCTAGAAGGGGCAACTTCTGTTTTGCTCCACGTGGATTGCAGGATTCGTCGTTATCCGTCGTTGCTCGGGCTGTCTGTTGGCGCCGACCATCAAGTGTGCTGACCTTCACCTTGCTACTGCTCCGGCAAGAGCTTGGATCATTCGAGACATATGATGCCTGGTATATAGTGTAATCATGCAGCATGAAACGGAATCGCAAACCGAGCTAGTTCGTCACTATAGCAGCAAGGAGAACCTGGACAATTCATGCAAACGACAGCAAGGCAAATCGCAGCAATTTGTTAAGTTCAGTCCTCGTAATTATTGCTAGCAGTCATCGACGCCATGACCGTAGCATCAGAAGCAAGCAGCTGCAACAGCACCAGCAGCAGCTCTTAACGTGTTGGTTTTAGCATGTAGGTTCTTATTCAGTTGCCAGGATTTCAGGCACAGTCGCAGTTTCGGGATGACTGTAGGGCCTGTAGGGGGGTGTGGGGCACATCAGTGCAGTCACAGGGGCTCTGAAATTCTCGCTGGGCCGCTCAGATGCAATGTTCAGCTCACTTGGGTGTGCGACCTTTGCAGTACACGGTTGCCAATTTGCAGTTCTTGAAACGCACACGGAAGGCAAGTACTTCGAGAAGCACGGCCATCTCTAAATTTGGGTCATGGAGCTCTGTCGTGCGCGATGTCGTCTGTGTCGCTTTCCAAAAGCTCCTGCGACTGGGAGCATACCAAAAACCAAAACAGGAACCCCGCCTCGACCTCGAGAACATTCCCTCAGGGTGGGCCCTGCGCGTGTCCTCTCTTGTCGACTGCCCCATACGCCGGCACCCGGACCGTTCAACGGCGGGCACAGCATCTTTACCTGCCATCTGCCATGACTCGCTTGGCACTTTCCGTGCAAGCCGAACAGAAGGTGCATGAGATGCTCGGGTAGCAGTCCCAGTGGTTCCCTCTGACTAGACTTGACGTATTCGCATGGGGCTTCGAGATCCCTTAGTGCCAAGCTTCGTGCTGCGAAGCTCGATTCAAGGTACTGTCCATGGCGTCCAGGGTAGGGCAACGACTTCTCATATGGCTGGTGCGAACTAGGTTTATACATGCTGTATAGGTGATGTTGTTAGTGAAACAATGGCTGCATTTCAGTGTGCCGGGTCATCACAAGGAAAGGCCTGCCCTCCCAGAGAATTAGTTGTATGACGTGTAGGAAGTCCAGAGTGGGTATACAATATTGCCGGCCTGGGTGTTCGGCTCGATCGTTGCGGTACCTCAGGCTGAATTTCTGAGCCGGAGTAATTTGAACAAGCAGCGGCATTCCAGCATACCATAGAAAACCACGATGCCATGAGATTGCTGCGTCTGCAGAAAAGACCGCCACAGGGCATATGACAGATAGCTAGCAACGCAGAACTCGGAGCACGAAGGATACCTTCAAACTCAATCGCCGCCGGAGACCAGCACTTAAAAGCCTGAACCCCTAAGGCCCGGAACCGGGAGCCTGAAACCCCAAACCCCCAAGCACTAAATAAAGGGAACTCCAGAAAGTTGGAATATGGATTAATGGTAGGATCCCCTAAAATTTACCTTAAAGGGGTTACGATAATGATATTCCAACTTTCTGGCTTCTACTGTAAACCGTCTGACCCTCAAAACGTTGAGCCCGACCCTAAGGCCGGGGCATGCCGCGGAAAGATACCAGGGCTCTCCATCCATCTGGAAGTACTGGCCCCTCGTAAGCTCCAAGTCCTTTGTAGTCAGGCAAGGATTTGGGGGTTGGGTTTCGAGAACTATTGGGCTTCAAGTTTAGGATGGTTTAGGGGTGTTTTGGTGGGGGGTTTGCTGCGTTTGGCTTTAGGCTTTAGAACTTGAACTTGGAGGTTCCAAGTTTAGAGAATTTAACGGTAAAGCCCACACAGGTTTAAACTTCAAGAATAACGAAAAAAACAAAATTCACGCCAAGTCTGGTTGAAGGTTTAGTCCACGGAAGAAGGCTTGGTGGTTGGTAGATCGACCGCCTGTGGTTTAGATGACTGTACTCGGCCTGGGCCCTTGTCTTTTGCGGCATGCTTCGTTCGATCACCTCCAGAACCAAACCCTAAACCCTAAACCCTAAACCAACGGTTGCGGGAATAACAAAGCAAAGCTCCTGGAGTTCTGCCCGAAACTTCTCGTCGACAGCGCCAACCTGCACCCTGCGACGCGGAAACTCAACCTCCAAGCTATGATTATTTAGGATGATTATGAGTGCTCCATAGTGTCAAAAAAAAATATATATATATATATATATATATATATGTATATATTTGTATATGGCCTAAGCAGTTATTGTAGCACAACTTAGAAATACTCAAGGAAGACCTTGAAGGAAAAAGCAGCTACCAATACACTCCCCTGATAACTGCAGCCGGAGCTCCACGCGCGCCGGCTGGTGGTCGATACGAATCTGGGAAGCGAGGGCGTTTTGAGCACGCAGGCCCAAAGCGTTGCTGCGGTCCATTGCAACGATGTACGTACAGTTGTTTAGAGCTTCCGGGTGATGCACCAGGAGACAGCTTCGTCTTAAAATCCATGCCTCGATTTGTCGGAATCCTCAACGCCCTACAATATCTACGAACCCTATAGTCAAGGAAACAAAGAGCACGAGGGGTGCATCTGAGCAGCGCTGCAGCTTTGGCAGGGCAGTCCAAGGAATTTCTTCGCTGTTGTCATCCCTGGCAGCGGACGAAGGGTGATGTACGTAAGGGGCCTGATATAGTCATTTATCAAAGATATCTCACTCACGTTCTGAATATACAAGAATTGTCCAGAATGGTGGCATTATTCCTGCTACTGCTAGAGGGTTACCTATATATATATATATATATATATATATATATAGATATAGATACAGATATAGATATAGATGCGGGAGGTATAAAACTCTGACACGAGTCAGGCCTCTAGATGAGACAACAACGACACTAAGGACCATGCAATCCTTGGGCTGCGACCTCTCCTACAACATGTAGCCTTGAACCATGACGCAATGTGTTGTGCGCTCTGGAGGTTTATGGATGTTTGCGTTGCATGGCTTCACCGATAGCGCTCCACAAGGGCCTGCGACATAGCTTTCAAACAGCGTCCGGCATACAGCACTACAGAATATACTGCTGGATTGAACATTGAAGCTGCTGGATGCTTTAGGAATCTCTAGCTCGGTAATCTTTTCAGAGCTGCAGCCAAGAGACCAATGACAGACACAGGACCATGGAGAGTAAACCTAAGCAGGAAAGCTGAGGCCAGGGGATTCTCGGATTCGAAGAGGCTCTATAGATTGAGCTGACCAGTCTTTGTGTCCTAGAGCTTCCTGCTCCGCATGCGCAACCAAGGCATGCAGTTGCAGTTAGAGGTTCTGCTGATCACTACTGGTCGTCAAGCTTCTCACCTGTGTAGCCTTCATCCAAGATGGAAGTTAAGATCAGGCAAAGCCCTGCACTGAGGCTCCGACGCCTCCAGGCGCCAGTCGGTTGGGCTGACTGCGTGTCTGAAGCGCTGCTTCCCATAGAGCGCCATGCCTCAACCAAGGGTGAGCTCGGGCTTCAGAAAGAGGCAAGAGAAGCCTTGAAGACTCGAACCGATTCTTCAGCTGACAGGGCTCGCAACCTGAGAACTTGCAAGTATGACATGGGCGTGAGCCAGGCAGAAAGAAGCAAAAAGCTAGGGTCGACTCGAACCACCTCAGCTGGCTTTCGAGAGTCACAGTCCCGAAATGGCCTGCCTGCACCGTATGAGTTGATATTCGTGAGCGTGAACTGTCCTGAGACGGGCTGTGTTCGGGTGTAGGATGTGTAAGTACATCCCGGTTGGGGCTCTGGCTTTGGGTTTCGTCCGTGACAGCGGGGCTGGGGCGATCACGCCGAATACGAGTGACATGGCTCTCAGATCTTGTCGGCAGGTTTTGAGCACCAGGATTCTCAAGGAATCGGGGTCTGTATAAAAGGCCTGGCGTGATGAATCTTATGGCATGTGCTGACTGTACTGTTGGCACATCCTCCATGCTGCATCTGAGTGCTGGGCGAAACTCGTCCCGCCCACGGAAGGAATACCTTGGCTTGGGGGACAGCGGTATACGCCAGTATACGCTGCTTGGGTTGGTTTTGAGGCTGATTGATGGAATTGAACGCAAATCATTGTCCATTGTCCATTCAACGTCCAGTCAAAGCTGTGCATCTCATGCGCTGCAGCCACGACACGCCTCTTCAGAGCCATCAAACCACAGCGAAAGGTCTTTGTTCAAGGCCTTCTTCCGACAGCAGCAGACTCCTGCATTGGGGACCCTCCAAGCACCAGGGCAGGATGCGATTGCAGCAACATCATCTAATCATCAAAACTGCCATCCAGTTGAAGGATGGACTGAGCAACTAGTTAATTAGGGATCAGGGTCGAGCAACAAAATTCCCCAAAACCAAGCTCCTTGCCCTGGGCTATGGGTAAGAAATACTGTATGGTAAACATACATAGCTGCAACAACGGCAGCAGCACGCAACGTGGAGCTAGCATACAGCAGTACACGAAACACAAACCCTGGAGTGAAACGACATTTCCGAGAGCTCCAAGCCTGTAAGGCATTCAAGGCCTTATACACTCTGGAGATAGATGATCTCGCCCGGACGAGATCTGTGGTCCAGTACAAAGCCACATGACCCAAATCTTGTTGCGTTCAGTCTCTTTTGAAGGCCCAAGGCACTCAAAACGTTTGGAGCTTTGCAGGCATAGCAGAGAAAGCCACCATGGATGAAACCTCGGCCGAGGCATACCGTGCAGGGTTTGCATCGGACCGCTGATAATTCGGAAAGGGTTTTGAGCTATTTTCTACTATAAGTCTATACAGGAACAATTTCAAGGGATATCTGCACTAATTGTTCAGACCCTTAAGTCTCCGTAATTACCAGCAGCGGTTGCAATGGCAATAACCATAAGTGTGACAGCAGCCTACTGCAGAGCACGAGTCACACCAGAAACAAACCATCGAACAGCAACTACAGAGTCATGATGAGAGCACTGTGGCAGAGGTGATGGTAGCAGAGTAGATAGACATGAACGCAACGCGCTTCCCAACACTCGAAGAAACTAGAGTATGCAGTCGTAGGCCACAAGAAGACCCAAGTCTTCAAGCTGAACTCCGCAGCATGGTCAAGAGGCTGAAAGGCCACAAACAGCGCAGTTGGAAACAGGCACGGCCTGGCTTCCGGCGCAGAGGAGTCTTGATTTTTGTGGTCCCTCATGGAGTCGAAGGAGTCTGAGGGATCTGCAAGGGACACCAGAAGTACAGAACATGCCTCATATGGCTTTCAGCGCTGGTGCATGTTTGGGTTATGTCTGAGTCTTTGCTCAGGCTGTTTGGGTGGAGGTCCTTTGAAATTTTTTGTTGTTTAGAATGCAACTTCGGGTCCCTAGGATTGACGGGTTGTGGGCATTGGCCCTAGGCCCTCTCCCAAAATCTCACCCTGAGGCCCTCAACCTTAGTCTTCGAGACCCTTCCCACAAAATCGGGAATCCCGAACCTTACCTTTGGTTGGTAGGGAATGGAAGGGGCCTTATAAGGGATCAGAAAGGGTACTAATATATGGGCCTTAATAATCTTAGTAGGGAATGGAAGAATGGTAGTATTAATAGCAATTATTATTGTACCCCATTCCCTCCATTCCTTACTAAGCCAAGGTAAAAACCCCAAGCTCCAAACCCCCGACAGTGCAACCGCGCCTAGTCGTCCCTGGCGCGCCTTGCCGACTTCATACCTGAGGCGAGCCGGGAGCGAGAGACAGAGAGAGATACTTATATGTATCTATATACATACACATGTTATATATGCATATCAACAAATATACTTACATATATACATATATGTTTACATATATATATATATAAACATTTTCACATATGTAAAGTATGCAGATAAACGCCCAAGCACACATTGTTTTTGCCCTGCTTGATTTGCGCCGAATGCATAGACGTACAATCTGAGAGAAACAATCAGCCGGCGAATCAACAGTGGCCCAGACAGTGGATCACACTCAGATCTACGACGATGACCAACTATATGTAATGCTTTTTTGTAGACCTGACAGGCCCCTCTCATCTCTGGGACTTCATGTATCAACGATACTATGCTGCATCTCACATACATCGTTTTGCCCATGTCAACATGTCTTGTTAACGGCAGCAGACACTCACGTTGACAAATATGGTGATGGAAGGCCACAGTGCGTGTTGTGGGGGGGTGCATTTTCTTAGCCGCCCTTTTGTTGGACCTTAGACATGGACGTGCTAGTTCGTACATGTTCACGTACTGGAGAAGCCTGGGCAGCCAACATGCTTGGGAGGTGTAGGACATTCTCCATACAGCAAAGGGACTGCAAACACCGTGGATAAACGATCACTTATTCCATCATCTGTCGTATGATCCTCGATGTGTAATCTTTTTTGTGGGTTCCTGCTGTCTCTCGTTAATGGGGGACAATTCCTCCTGCACTGGACCCTATGTAACCCTGAACCAGACCCTAAAGTGTCCAGACCCAGCCACGTCGTCCTGGCATCCATGCCGACAGAGAAGTAGTTGGTGAAGTATCCGACGTACTCCTTGGATGACAGTCCAACCCATCTGGTTTGTGTCTTTGACTGCTAGACTCACCCCAGATCTCAAAACCTTGAACATGTATGGTTGGTTAGCTCGAGGTCTTGTGAAATTCTAATAAACGTAAACGCAAGCAGACCAGAATCCCCGACCCCCTGAACCCCATTCACCGTTTCCAGCCTGAATCCCCAAAGCATCCCAGCCGCCCCAAAACTGAACAAGAAGCCAAAGGACAGACCTATGCTCCTCCTTCGGCCGCAGTGAGGGTGGCAGCATGCTCTGGGGTCGCAGTGTCAACTTCCTTCAGTGTTAGCACCAGGATCCGAGCTCGGGTTCAAGCGCAATTAGCGTGTACAGTACATCAGACCTCTTCGCCTTTGGCGCTCTGAATGTCATAGAAAAGAATCACAGCATCACAGAGTCAGAGTGCAACATTGTCGGGAGTCAAGATAAAGATAATGATATGCGGCACTGCGATTCTCAAGGCTTGGGGGCTACGATCGAGAAGAACGTGAGACACTTGCCACAGGCACATTCGAACATTAGCTGATGCTAAAACCGGGTACAGTCTACACAAAACCTACCGGCTCACAACCCTCGCACCCCAAGTCATAGATTCGGAACTCTTCAACAAGGGCGTGGTGCCACTGATCCAGAAGCACAATCTCCGCATGGATGGTCCGCATAACGTAGCTCTCCTCCAATTTGATTTTCTAGGCCTTCAGGAATACGTAGACGTCTATGGTGGGGTACAAGTGCTGTCGTGACTGCGCCAATATCGCATGCAGTCTTGGAGCTGCAAAACTAGCAAACAACACTTGCAGCCCCCCGCCCCCAAACAAATATTCCTCCAAACCTCGGCGCACCAATTATCCCAAACCTCCACTTCTAGGCCACCCTGAAGCCAAGTAGACCATAGATTGAAAAACCTCCCCCTGCATAATTGAATGATTGAGCGAAGCCCCTCGAAGGAGTATCAATCGAGCACGACATATACTCCAATCCTACTTACACATCCCTTCAGCAAAGGTGCCCTTGCCGATCTGCAATTCCTCGCAGGGATCTCCTGCTGCCATAGACCCTGCCCACCAAAACGCGAACACCGGGCACGGACCTGAAACCCAAAAGCAAAAAACAGCCAGAGCGCCGAAAATTGAATCCTGATGCCTCAACTCCGAACCCGAAGCCCTGTGAAGCCCGAAGATTTCGCTCCAGCTGGCTCAGCTCCGACAGCGCGGGGCCCCAGCCCAGGGATCGTGCCAGATCGTTGCCCGTTCCCATGGGTATGATCCCTGAGATTGGCGTCAAGGCAGGTTAGTGAGCTTAGCTAGCAGCTTAGAACATAATAAGCTTGTGGACAGATTGAGATCCGGCTCTCTCCAGGTTTTGCGGGACTTCTGCTTGGGCTTTGAGGGCAAGCTCCAATGAAGTTGTCGGATTGCAAGGCTTTGTAGGACTTAGCTGCCGTGATATGGGCATGATCTTTTGGGGGAGTTCTGTTCGAAGAGTCTCGGCTGTGAGCCCGTTTGGGGATCATAGTCCTTGGAGCCCAGGTCTCTTTCGAGTTCACCGGAAACTACCTGGGATGCAGGTGGACCTGGCTTCGAGCACCGTCATGTGTCCTAGCCCTACGGCTCTTACCTAGGCGGAACCCAGCACCCCCCACCCGATTCCGACCCAAACCTAGAGCCCAGCGTTGTTGGCAAGGCGGCTAGGAACGCAGGAGAAGAGATGAGAAGAGTGCAGTTCGGCAGCTGTTGGCTCTATAAGATTGGCCAGATGGGAGTTTCCGAAAATTAGGAATGAAGATCCTACGATTTAAGGTACCATATTAGGGTCCCCTATTTTCGGAAATTCCCAGATAGGTCGTTAAATATTCATGTAAGTGGTGGTTGCTAGGGTTTGCAGGAACAACAGCGGATCAGATCTTCCGGCTTGCCCCAACCCGATTGCGCTGACCTGAATCCAGCGAAAGGTTTGCTACGCGAGATCCAGAACCCTTACCTCTAATTTTTGTCACCCACATGGCACGCTTACCTCTAATAGTCATAGTAATAGTACCTTCGACACCCCTCAACATAGAGCCCGAGAACCGCCCACTAGCCTTGTGCAGACAACCCCTCTTCAAGCAAAGAGGCCGACTGGAGGCCTGGGTCTGCGGAAGGGATACCACCAGCTTGGAGTTTCCGGCTAAGAAAAGCGTCCTACAACCTGAAAAAACCCTGGGGAACGGCTTCCGGATCCACAGTCTACAGTACCCCAAGGCTTTCTCATCTCCTCGCACCAGGCCGTCAAACCTCTATTTGTGCAGGTGTCGGGAAGGGGGGTCTGCGTCGGCTGACCTTGCCGTCTAAAGGGTCGAGAGTCCACCGGCACCTTACATGGAATTTCGCGCCCTATGGCACTAGCCCACAGAGATACCTCATCAATAGCCAGTTGTCCAAAGGCCAAAGCAAGTCCCAAAAGAACCTGAACTACTAAACGCTCACGAGAACGCTCGTGCTCGGTCTGAATCCGTCCCTGAAAAAGTGAATCCCGCAGCCATGCAAGTGACGAGAACTCAGAGGCTGAGGTGCGTCCCATCTTCGAACATCGCTCGGCGAGCTTGGAGCTCTGACCTTTCTGCAGTACGATTTAGATCCTGCCAGGACTCTTGCCATACTCTTGGCCTTTTGGCTTTCGGGTTGAGGGTTCCCAAAACTAGAAATTGGATTCTTGGGGTGTTCGATTCTTGGGTTTCAGGGCTTGGATTTAGGAAAGATCGCAGTCTTCGGCGGCTACACACGGGGTAAGGGGACAAAGCCAGTCTTCTTCGTCTTTGTTGGATCCAACGAGTGATGAAACTAGGCAGTTGCGTCAACCAGCCGCAAAACCCTGAACATCCCAAGTCCAACAAATATGAAAACAACGAACAAGCTTGGCATCTGCAACTCCAACATCAAGAACACCCAACACCCAGACCATCCCAGACCAGTCGAGTGCTGAACGAACAATGCGTGTTTGTGTCTTAGCACGCCTGTAACCTTTCAGAAGGGAATGTACTGGGGCCTGCGTTTTTGAAGTCTAGCTAATTTTGCATAGAGTATGATAACCTTTGCGGGACGAGCTGGCTCCAGGGCAGTATCTTCTCATCTGTATGGTTTCAACACAGACAGACAATATCATGTTGAATGTGGCGTGAAAGGTTTCGTGAATAGTTGTTCCGGCTGCTTTATTTGTTTGCGGAAACATATCCTTTTGCAACTGATTCTCTGTAAGGTTCTTTGTGAACCTTTAGGGTGTAGGCTCGCGCTTGCCGCAAGCACCCGAATCCTGATCTACCGGTGGCGGGCAGAGGCGTCCGCAAGATGCGGGCCTCAAGATTTCAAACGAGCGGACCATGATGATCATGCTTGCGATGTAGCGGCTAAATTTAGCAGTACTTTAAATTGCTCTTATGCATTCAAACCATCTGCACTGCTCTCGCTCTGCTGCCCAGGCGGCAAGACCCAGGTCACCGTCCCATCTCCGCCGCCTGAGCCGTCCGAGCGGAATCTATGTTTGTTGAGACGGCCCAGTATCCCCTGAAGCACTGGAAACTCACTGGTATCCTCAGTCCAAGTTTTTAGGTTTGTGAAGAAACCCACCAAGCTGTCAGTAGACACTTTCGTCTGCAAGCAGGTAATCTGCAGCGCTTTCTGCAAAACCGGGGACATTCACGGAAATACAGCCACTAATCAGGCATGCCCAACCGCCGTCAACAACTCTATAAGATTGCCACAAACTTACGACACAAGCCGGCCACTCAAGTCCACACAAGCGCAAGTGGATATGCGTTGTGCCAGACCCTCGCAGCCTCACCAAGCATTGTTCAAGGTGAAAGTCATCACAGGCTTGATGTGCCAACTTACCCTGTAGCCAATGACCAATGAAAATGTAGCAGCTCTCCTCTAAAGCGGCTGAAGGAAACCCCAAGGCTCATGTACGACCAGAACTTTCGTTTCAAACTCAGGACTTAGTTTTGCGACTTGGTTTCTGTTCTGTCCACATGCGTCCAATTTACCTATGCAAGCACAACTCCTGCTTCCGAGATGCATGCCAGCACATAGACGTTCTGATCGGTCTTCTGCTTCCCAGCGGCCAGGCCTTGATTCAGAAACCATCAAAGAAACATGTCGGCGCTCCAGGACAAACCATGCACATATGGTCTGTGAAGAAATCTACTTCCCGCAAGGGAAGGCTTGAGTGTGCAACAGGCATCTTGTTTAATTGTTGTGCTGACCTTTTGTGTTACAGCCTGACATGCAAACACACACACACACACACACACACTCTCGTCCCGCTTCCTGAGCCGAAACCGTGCATGTAGCGGTCAAGCCTATATCATGACATTACGAAAATAGGCCTTGGGTATGTAAACTGAACAACAAACCTTAATTTCATGGTTGGCTCCTCCACCGCTGGTAGAAGGGTTCGGAGTTCAAAGCTACTTGGCTCCCGACCTCGAAACATGGCCAAGAATATCTTCCTCTGCTCAAGCAGTCAAAGTTAAACAGGAGTGTGAAGCCTCCCTCCGCCCCTTCCCCGGAAGCTCGAAACTTCTCAGCCAAGATGCTCATGCCGCGCTCCAAGTCATCCGGTAAGACGCACACACAACCTGGGCAAATTGCCCGGATGGAGGATGGGAGCGTGTCAGCAGGTTACACATGGTGTATCTGGGCTATTATTTATGAGCAGATGCCACAGTTTGCCTTGATGGGACATTGAGAGTCCAACTTTGCCAGCTTGTTGTGGAGCCTACAGGGTTGAACGCGGGCTTGTTCCGAGTCGATCAACTGGAATCCGTTCTTGCTGAGGTTCGAATTTGCGATACGGTCCTCATCGTTGCTTCTTATTACCACAGGCACTTCTCTCTGGGAGCTACTGGTATTGCGGAGGTCACAAACAAATCAACATTTAATGGGCATCGCTTCTCGAAGCACGGCCCTGGAGCAGGCTGAAAAGAAAACTGGCTAGCACAAGGGGCCAGGGCTAATTCCTGCTCTCGATCCTGCCATTCATGTACGGTCTGGCTTCTTGTTCTGCAGATTAACCCCAGCTTATTTCTGCCGCCATGCAGCCGTGTTGGCCGAGGAGGCTGGAAAAGGCATCGTGCAGCAAAGCACTCTTCTGGTCTCCAGAGCCCTTATTCACGAAGGCGATGATGTACCTTCCTGGCCGGCTTGGTTATCACACAGTTTTGGAGTCGCGTGCTTCCAAGCCTGATGCAGGTTGGAATTACCTGCATGAAGGGCAAAAGAAAACTGCGCGAATCCGATCTCGAAGAAAGTTGCACTCGGGTGAATACCGCGGGGTCTTGGGCTTGGACCATGTTGGTGTTTATCTGTATCAACAACATGTGTAATTGCTCCGTCTTGCAGGCCAAAGGTTACGAAAACAGCGCATTCCAGGCAAAAGGCTTGCTACTCACACTACACGATTTGAAAACGATCATGTCGCATCACCACCATTTCGACTATGGTGAGAGCAAACACTTCGACTGCGACTACAAGAAGAAGGAGCATTACTGCCGCTGCCACTGCCACAGCTGCTCGTGCTGCGAGTGCCACTGCTTCTTACTGCTTCCCACCACTGCGACTACCCGCCCCGCTCCCGGGCCTCATCCTCCTCCTCCTCCTCCTCCTCCTCCTCCTCCTACTCCCTCCGCTGTTGCTACCACTGCCACTGTGACCGCTACGAGCAAAACATACGACTATGTTACGACTACGACGACGGCGACGACGACTGCTATGACGATTGCGAAAGGGGTAGTCGTAACACCAAGCTCAAGTCAAACGCGCGAGTCCTCCTTAAGGCCTCAGACAGCCGATCTATTGGCTGGCTATCGGAAGCCCGAAGACGTCTGTATACCCCTGATGCGCTAAAAGTTCAGAAAGCTCTAAGCAGCCCTTCGAGGCAAGTTCATGACCAAAGCCTCGATCTCGGCCGAGCAGCAGGAAGACCAACCTAACCCTGTAGCTCGAAGCCCAGAAACATGAAGCACTAAACCAACCAAACAACTCTGGTCGAAACATGAGTTGTCCATGCTTGCTGGCCTAAACAACCCTAAGCTAAAACCCTATAGGCCCTATAAGCCCAACTGTAAACCCTGGAGCCCCAAGTGTCCTGAGTTCATCAGCGCTCTTGTGGTACTTTCCCTCTCCGGCTGCGCACAGCGCCGGGTCGTCGCCTCAGTCTGCGAAATCCTCAATATACCTTAAACTACCTAACCCTACTTGTTTGTAGGCTCTTATTATAAACCCTAATATGGAATTTATGGGGACCCTACCAAAAACGTGGGCTTTGGTGGGTTAAGGTAGTTCAATAATTAAACTCGGAAAAGCAAGGTCCTTCATGACGGATCTGGAAAAGAGAGCGCTACCGTTCGGGCCTACTCTACTCTTGACTTTCAGGACACGTTTTCCTCAGTTTGGTAACGAGTAGCACTCTCCACGATGTCAGGTGTGATGCTTTGATGCATATCAATGGGTCGCCATCAAACAGCTTGCGTACGTTCCGGTGTCGGGGCTGAGCTTGGGCTCAGCTGTACTCCGTGTTGTAGAATCTTAATTCAAATACCTTGAAGAAGCCTTGGTCAAGTGACGGTTCCGCTTGCATAAGACAAGTGCACTGTCACACTGCGGCTCGAATCAAAATGACCATTCTGGAATCACAAAGGCTGGGCCTTAGCTCACAACCCTAAGCCCTAGTGAGTGGCAATGGGGCGGGGATTGGTCATTTGCAGGCGTGGCCCGCCTATTCCCACGGACCATACAGACTAGGTTGTACTCCGCACCTGCTGCACCTCAGTCCGAAACCAAACATGCTTACATGTTAAAACCCAGAGACCAACCCTTCAACCAAAAACCGTCACCTTCAACCTCGAGCCCTCATAGTAAGGCCCCGAACTTGCACCACAAGTCCTGCTACTGCTACCATCTCTTCCCAGCTTCAATTCCGGCGTAATCGTCTTCGCCGGCATATTCCTGAGATTTCTTGGGTGGAGTTGTGGGGGGTCCAGGGGCTTACGGGTTGCGGTTTCTTGATGTTTGCGACGGGCCCCACAGAAAGCACACAAACACTTTGCAGCCCATCACCGACCCCTGAACCCTTGGCCCGCAACTCGGTAATGTATGTTTTTTACATCGATGTAAAAAACATACATTACCGTGTACAGCATTCCAATCCGACACACTACCGTCCTACACATCGTATTGACCCCGCTCCCGCAAACACACAGCTGCACCGTCCAGTCTGGACCCTAAAATGCTAAGACCTATAAATGATAAAGCCGATTGACCCTCTCTCTCTCTCTCTCCTCTCTCTCTCTCTCTCCCGATTGACCCTAAATCCGAAATCCTCTTGACTTGACCAGGTTCGGGCTTCGTTTGGACTGGCCTAGTTTAATAGCTGTGGGTTTGAGCCGTGAGTTCTTTGACTAGGGCCTAGGGTTTCAACGGGTCAGGCTGAGGGCCAGGCTGTGTAAATCAGAATGTCTCTATGCTGCCTGCCGGTCTTTGGCCAGGCCACTGTGACGACAATGTCCTTGGGCTGGGAGCAGCTCATCACCTGCAGACGCTCCCATGGAACCCGAAATTGAGGCCTACGGTGGAATGCTTGCAGGTCCAGGCCGCTGGGAGTGAATTAAAGTTGCAGTACATCAGGATGTCATACAAATCACTTCGCCCCTTGTAATAAACGTCCCTCTAATTCTCTTGCTCTGGCTTCTGCGCCTGCTCTTGCTGTTGCTCCTGCTAGCAGGAGCAAGAGCAAGAGCCCTCAAAAGTTGCGGTCGAGAAAAAAATACCGCTATGATGAAAACCGCCTTCCGGGTTTCTATTTGGGGGGGCCAGGGGGCAGGGCGGGCCCCGTTTAATTTTAGGGGGAAAGGATTACACCTTCCATGTCTTAAACCGTGGACTGTATGGCAGAGAAGCATGAGGCCTTTCAAGTCTGCACTGCTTTCTACCTAGCAGCGCCCTGCTTTCGCGAGGCCCTAAATTCCCCTGAACTTAATTCCGGGCTCCAGTTGACCTCAGGACTACCTCTGATTTCCCAAATAAAGTGACCTTTGCACCAAAGGCTCTACATTGAAGTCCAATGGGATCAAAAACGAGCGAAAACCTTTGTCGGTGAACTATGGCACGGAATTGCGCAAGACCGCCTTAAGCCATCAGTGATCATTCATGTGCCCTGCCCCAAGAAGCCCCATAAAACCTTCCAACCACCGGACCCCGCCCCCCCCCACCCCCTCCGGAGTGTTATTAAATCCAGGCACCATTCTCAGCAGCAGGAGCAGGAGGAGCCCCTGAGCGGATAGGGGCTCTATAGGCTCGTCCGGTACACTCTGCCTACATTTCAGAAGAGCAGCCCCTATAAAGGAATGGAAGTACTAATTATTCCGGCTTCTGTATCATCTTCGAAGCATTTTTGTTTGCCTCCCGCATGGCGACAGTTGCGCACATGCCGCAGGGTATATCGCAAACTGGAGCTGTATACTGTATAACCAGTCATGCACACTCCACATGAGTATATTTGCTCCATGCAACTTCCTGCCACCGAGAAGACACATGGAAGCACTGCAAACCGAACACAAAGAACATCGCCAGGGTCAGAGAGCAGGACTCGTAGAAGCTTCAAGTTCGATCATCCATCTTGACTTCACCTTGCTAAAAGGACCAAACTCCAAGACTTGACCTAGGTTCCCCAGCATTCACGTAGCAGTAAGGTCCTTTTCCCAGTCTTGAGCTTCTAGCTGGGAGACACCCAAGCACAAGCGGCATGATGAGGCTGTTTCTGGGGACCATAAAACCGAAATTGACCGGCTCCAAGGCACCACCAGGAGCCAAATCACCCGCTCGTCCTCGTGGAGTCGCGCCAGCCTGAGAGGTTAAGGGCTTCAGGGTTTGGGGATGTAGGGTTTTCAAGGGTTTGTAATTTCAGGGGTGGGGCTTCAGGGCTTTAGGACGAAAGTCTACCGTTTTCTCAAAACCCTCCCAAATATATCTACCAGAGTCTAAACGCCTTATAGCCGTCATAGTGCGTATTGAAGGTATATAGGGTATGTATGTTAACCCGAAGTGGCGGGCAGGCAGGCAGGCCGGTGGGCGGGTAAGTAGCTAGCTAGCGAGCTAGCTGACTAAATGGGCATGTGCGTGTGTGTGCGCGCGTGTGTGTGTGTGTGCTCATGTATATTGCTATCTTTTGCATATACTACGATATACACATCTGCTCAGAGCTTTCAGTCTGGGCTGGGGGTTGTCTGGTTGCGACACAACGGAGACTGTCCGAAAACGCTATGAACTAAGTCGATAAGTGTGGATGCGTGCCAGGTCCACCAGAAACATGCGCTAGAACAGCAATGCTACCAGCCCAGCAACAGGGATTTGTTCTCCTGCTCCACGTCTTCCTCGTGGTTCTCTCCTGCTCTGCAGGAGATGAGCGCATATAAGCATGTACATCATGTGCATACTGATTGGCAGCTGCTACCATTGGTACGGCATGACATTTCCCTCTTGATGTCACATTTTCGCCTGCAAGACATGAAGAATGTCTTATTTTGATGGTAATTACGGATCTCACCGGGGCGCCCCCCCACACAGACACAGAACGCTTTGCTCATACCTTCTCAACGCTTGCCAGAGGCCTGATTAACATAAACCTGACTTCAAGTTCGGCCTGCTCGTGATTCGTTATCTGCCAGCAGCGTAAGCTGCAGTGGCGGCATCCCCTTGGAGCAGCCTGAGGCTGACACCACAAGGCAAAAGACTCCGCGAGCACTAACTAACAGGCGAATTGGACAACAATAGCAGTTGACATACTCACAATACTCTCTCTCTCTCTCTCTCTCTCTGTGTCTCTCTCGCGGACTCAGAGGTCTGTCAGTACTACTCGCATCTACTCCCCATAAAAATGCACGCAGTAATTGTAGCAACAATCCTCGAAAGTAGCAGATAACAAGGGAACGATATGCGCTAATAGCTTCTTCCGGTTGGATCAGGAATTCGGGACTGACTCCGAGGCTATTCCAGCCTACTTGCAGCATGTTTCACGCCTTTGGCACACGTTTTTGTTTGAGGTGCTAGGCACAGTGAAGTGCTTCGCACCCCCGTGAGACGCCAGCATGGCCAATTCAAGGTGAAGGCGAAAAGAGAGGGTTTGAAATTGGGTCGCTTTGGGGCCGTGGTCCCTGGTTTAGGCTTTCACCCTGCTGTTTGGTACCTTTAACCAAAGCTAGCGCAGAAGCCAGTGGAATCCGAAACTAGTTGCTATGGTGCTGATATGCCCTTGAAGAGCATTGCGGACATGAGATACCAAAGCATTCTGATACCGATTTTATTCACACGGAATACACTGCAAGCCACCACAATAAATGTCAAAACATCCGAAGCCCAGACTCTCAATTCTTGTCTGGTGGCACGGGGGGTAGACTCCCCAAGGGTCGGGGCAGCAAAGGCCGCTTGTCTCCTCGCAGGCCTTGGCATTTCGGTACGGGTATATCGAGTGTGGGTTCCCGTTTAACTGGATGTTTTTGGAAACTCCTAAGGGATGTGGGAGTTTCCGAAAATAAGGGACCCTAATATAGTACCTTATAATAGGATCCTTATTATAAGGACCCCAAAATAAGGTACCCCTCATTTTCGGAAACTCCCATGTAGTACAGGTTTCGGGCTGTAGGGGTCGCGCACCAAGCTCGAAACTCTTAGTCTCAAAGCCGGCTGCAACAAGTTGCTGTGGGTGTCTGAAATAAATCCATCCTTCAGCTTACAGCCTAGGATTGGTGTAATTAGGGAGCATGCTAAGGGGTTTCAGGCTTTGGGATAAGGCCCACCAAGAAAATAAACTCAGCAAGCACCACAGCCAGTCGATGTCCAAAAGCGACAAACCCAGAAGTGGACTCGCCGGGCGTCTTCGTGAAAGAAGCAGCCCTCGCCGGGCAGAGTGCGATGGTAACAGCGCCCAGCTGATCGAAACCCATCCGCCGACCACCTGTGGTCGGAAGCACAAGACGACAACCAGTAGAGCGTCAAACTGTACGCTTTATTATAAGCCATGCATTCGACCTCCGCCCGTTCTTTTATCTGAGATGGCTCTTGTCCATCATCACCTTCGGCCCAGATAAAGTCACCCCAAGTCCCAGACCTTTCTGACCCACTATAAACAGTAAACTTTCCAGGCTGCATGCTGCTTGGCCCTTGACGTTCAGCGTTGGATTCAGCCTTCTCAACATTGAAAAGCCCACCGCTCAACAACAAGGCCGGAACGATGAAACCCCAAGGCCCTCAAAGCCTACAGTATCTAAAATCCTAAAACATCCTAAGCCCGATGAACCACAAGAGCTCCAGATCTTTCAGCCCCAAATCAGCATTCACTGCAGATATTCCGTTTTTGCATCCGTTTTTGCAAAAGGCTTTCCACTTCGCCCGGAGTTGGAGCAAGTTGCAACTGGAAACTACTCACAGGACACAACAGTTTGAAGACTCGTCCCTGGACGAAGAGGACTCAAATTCGGAAGGCCCAACAGCTTCCAAACGAATACTGAAACCCTCCAACAAACAACTGTCACGAGGATTTCCGCTCCAAGACCACCTGCGTCCGTGACTGCTATCATTTGTGAAACTTCATCGAAAGCTCGACATCCAAAATCCCCAAGACCCCCCATCCCCGTCAGTGCTGCCATGTCTAACAACCTCATGGCAAGTCCTGTCCAGAAGCGACAACTGTCACGAGGATTCCATGCCTGCCGTCGACCTCCTAGTACAGTTCTTCAGTGATCTATCCGCCCCTGAGATGCTGCCAACGAACCTGACAGTCCCCTGTCCTGGTACGGCCAGCGGCGTGCACAACCTCAGCAAAAGATCGAGTGCCCCTATGCATCAAAGTGTTAGATTTGAGGTTTCGGGTTTTCGGAAATTTAGCATTGCAACTACTGATTCAATCAAAGGGCCGGTGTTTCTGCGCGGCGGGGTTGGCTAGTGGTCGCGAAGTACGATTCAAATTTAAGCACTCTAATCATCTCTACCCTGCCAACCCCAACTCTGTTTACCCACAAGTTGTCCGCAAATGTCCTGGAGCCACCACATAGTTCTCGGATTTGGACCAGGGCGTAAGTTAGCAGCAGCACAGAGTCGAGAGGCTTCCCAAGAGGGACACTTGTTTTAATCCAAAGTCCACCGGCTCTCCGAACGAAACCGTCCGTAAGCCCATAGAACTCTGCAAAAAACCCTGCACCCTTCATCCATTCTCGCACATGCTAAACCCTCTCGGCCGGGCTGCCATCCGCCAACCGGCAACTTTGAAAGCTGGAAGGCTGTGCAGTTTGCAAGTCTGCAGCCTCGAAGGACAATGCGGTTTATGGGCTCGAGCGGGGAAAGAAGGGCTTGCGGTTTCAGTACTCACTGGGCCGGACTAGGCACGAGCTGCTTTCTGGGCACATCGGGTTTCAGGCTTCGGCTTTCCGGGGGTGGGGGTACTCGTTGTGCAGGGATGTGCAGGGTTTAAGGTTAGGGGAGGTAGGGACAATTTGAGGGATTTAGGGTTTTTCAGCGTTCACATTGGCCAAGGCTTCTGGCTTCACGTCTGAATATCTATTTACTGCATCCAAAACCCTACCTAGCCATATGTTGATCAAGCGGAAGATCTATCTGTCTATCCACCTATCAATCTATGTGCAAATCTACCCATCCTTCTGTCAGCCGACCTATCGATGGACCCATCCATCTATCCATCTAAGCATTTAGCCATCTACTATTTCACCTCATCCTGTCTCCAACGGTCTATCTCTAGCTGCGCAGCTGTCCTTCCATCCATCCGTCTGTCCATCGATCTGTCTAAATGTCTATCGAGCATCTGTCCGCGTCTACCATCTACCTGTAATGCTGTATGTGTACATATCGATGAGGCTTGGGATTTAGGGCAATCCAGGGTTTGCGGGGGATGCGGTCTTCGGGCGCTGACTCTCGAGGATTCCTCCTGTTGGAGTCTGAGCAGCTTTGAGGGTTTTGGTTCAGGATTTAGGGGGCCGGCAGCTTAAATATGATATGCCACTGCCTATACCGTCAGGCATACACTGGATTCTCATGCAAGGTCCTAGTGCTTCAGCTAGTGCAGGGTCGTAGTGTTTGTCTTCCCTCTCCTTTCGACGCTCACACTCGCACAAGGCAGGCAAGGCTCCACATAGTCCACAGAATCACAACTAGTAGCCAACAACGCCCCAGCGTTACCCAACATGTAAATCGCAAATAAACCACAAAAGGTAGTAAAACAGGAAGACTGTCAAAGGTAGGTGACAGTAGTGCCTGGGCGGTGGCATAGGCTAAAGGTCCACATTGAGACCTCTCTGTTTCAAAAGAGCTACACGACCCGATCATCTATCAGCTGTTGCCGTCTGCACTCTGTACACATCCGTCACGCGTTATCATGCAGTTTCCCATTGTTGCAAGGCAAGCCAGCCACCAGTAGCAGTAGACTGATCTCTCATGCAGAGAGCGCACATGCAGCAAATAATGCATAAATTCGCAGTACCATATATCATGCAGAGTGCAGTGAGTTCACTCCTCAGATGGTTTGCCCCACTTACACAAAGGTGAAGCTTTTGTCAGACCTCTCATGCAGTAAATACCATGCAGATCCTCATGCAGAATAAATTCCAAATTCCAGGCAACCACATACCCGTATCCAAGGGCCACAGGTATCTTCAGGGGCATTCGTCGTGCAGAGCAATTCCAGAATTCCAGTAAATAATGTGCAGATCATAATGTAGATTGAATTCCAGTTCTCGAGTAAACCACGTACCCGTGTCCATGGGCCCCAGGTTGTCTCAGGTGCAGTCACCATGCAGAATAAATTCCAGAATTCCAGAAAAACACGTACTCGGAGCCCATGACCTCAAGCTGCCTCAGGGCCCGTCAGATCCCTACGCCTCGCATTGGGGGCAAGGATTCTATCCTATAGGCCCACCCGACTGGCTATATGCCCAGAAATGCTTCAGGGGGTCTCTTGGAGCTGGGACTTCGAGTCTCTCTGGAAACGTGGTCCACGAAATGACTCAAACGACTCTATTAAGGTTTATAATAGGCTTTTAAGGGTTTTGGGTTTAGGGTTAGGGATGTGGATGTTCCTTATGATGTTTGGAATCTGCAAAAATACAACTTTTTCTGAAGCATTTCACTCGTTGAAATGCCAGCACGCATGCAAGCCCTATTCTCGTTCGTATATACGCCACAACAATCCGGTATTGCGCTGGAGTCCCAGTGGCGTGCGTAGCAGTCCGCCGAGTCTGCCAGCCGGTGCGCTGACCCAGGTCGCAGCTGCAGCCCTTGCTAGCTTAGGTTGGGAGTTTAGGCTTTGAATAGAGCTAGGCTCCATGCTCTACATTGTGAAACTGCCGGTCAGGGCACAGGGTGGCAAGCATAACATGGTTCATTATGATTCGCTCTCTTGTGGTGATTATCCTGCCCCGGAGATGACGACGACAGCTACAACAGTCTCCACGTCTTTGATTCTGAAGGTTGACCAAGTCTAACCGTCAGAAGATTACCAATGCAGTACTGACTGTCATGCTGAAGTGTCAGGGCAATAGCAGCAAAGCAAACACTGGGCCTCGATCCTCTTCTCTGCAACTGAAACTGCGCAGCCCGAATCTCAATCGCGCAGGACGGGCTTAGAAGGCAAGAAAACTGAAGAAATATGCACATGCCCCGGACTCGATTCTGTTTCACCAAAGCAAGAGATGCTGAGTATTGCATCGTCGTCCAGCCCTCATTCACGAAACCCAAGCAGCAAATCTGATTGCCAACTAATACTCATACACAATCATAGAAACCACCGTGTGTCGTTTTCCTAAGCTGAAAATTTTGGTACACAAAGTACAAATATAGATAAATACAATCCAAACAAGCACATATATTCGCATACATTGCTATACATGCATGTGTGCGGTTGCACATGCACGCGAAGATCGCCAAGCAACGCCGACCGCGGCGCTGTGCCACGCAGCGGCCGGGGGCGCTTCGCAGCCAGGAGTGCAGGGAGGCGCAGCGACCGTCGAGACCTGGGGTGAAGTTGGAGAGACTGTAGGAACTGGTAGGGTGGTTTGGATGGGTTCTTATGAGAGGTTGATAAGGCTTGTTAGGGATGGCGAAGTTTACTACACGCTATGTTGTACTATACATCCTATAGAATCATAGATAGATATCGATGGACACAAGGAAAGATATGCATAGATACGCAGAGATAGATGGATAGGTAGGGGAAGTTAATTACTAGGACCGATAAGAGCTTGGGGTTTGAGATCCTCGAAGCCTATGGCTTGTGGCGTATGGTCAATCGCGGGATCCCCGACCAAGTGGGCTGCAGGACAGGCGTGCCGGCCTGATGATCCTTGTCACGGACTTTTTCGGATGAAATCAACTTCTGGAATTCTGTAACCCTCACAGGCCTGCATTTTCAGGCTTTATAAGCACAAGCCCTCGAACCTGAACTTGAGCAAGGTGGCAGCGTGGAGCATGATCAAAGCAATCTGCCGACCTGTTGCAGGTGCGCTCGCCTGGCACCTGGCAGTTACTCTTCCAGGTAGTTTGGCTAGGAGCTGATCGTTTCAAGCTTAGGATTCGAGGTTCAAGCTCTACGTTCTCGGGGTTGTGGTCTGTAGGTTCTTGAAACTGGTGGTCTCTTGGACGTCTGGCTTTTGGGTGTGAGCTTTTGGCGGATGATTGGGCAGCAGCTCCTGGCTGCGGAAGGATAAGAAGGGTTCAGCCACCAACCCCTGTAATGCCAGACAAACGCCAGTAGGCATTCTGCGTATATCCGACTGTCACAGCACCGAAACACTGCAGCTGAATTGAAACCTCCATCCACCAGCCTTTCACGTCTTCACCCTGCACCAAAACTCGAGAGCTCAAAGGGCACACCACAGTGCCACCTCCCTCTGCTTGCCGAGGAAGTCGGAAGATGCAACTATAGACGCCTGGATCAAGGGCGAGGGCTGGGGGATGCGAGTTTGTCTTTCAAGGCCCAGGTTTGATGCTGCAGCACTCGGCCTGGAAGGTTCGACCCAAGCTTGATTTCCAGGCTTTGTGGACATGGGAACTTGGGCTGCTCAAGTGTGACCCGGAAGCAAAGATTTGACCTCGCCTTAATTATTCTTGAGCCTACAAACATCAACAAACCCCAAGCCCCTCTAGCAAACTTTGAAGTCAAACCCCAAGCACCCTTCTGCTAAATCTCGCCAGAAGCAAGCCAGGAAGCTGGGGCCCAAAGGCAGGAAAGCAGTCGGACCCACATCTCATGGCTCTGCCATCGGCAAGTGCGGCTTGCGAGTGCGGTTTGTATTGATTTCAGCATGGTTCTTGGTTTGGACTCTTGCCACCAGGACTGGGCAGGCTGTCGGAGTGTAGGCTTAGGCTTAGTCCCTGGGGCATCGGGTGGAGGAAGGTTTGGTCTGCGCCTGTGTCTTGCACTACCTTGTGGCCATCCCTTGGCGCAGCTAACCTTTCTTGGTGCCCTCTTACATATCTCAATGCCAACCTGTGTTTGGATGTCTTTGTTCAGCGTGGTGCGCTGCATGTGTATGTATACATTGTGCTTTCATCTATCCCTACTGTGCCAGTACCCAAGATGACCATAACCTGCTACATCATAACTGGCCTGACTACCAGATACCGAGCAGTTAGAAATAATCCAAGCTTCGGAAACGTCAGCTGCAAGGTGTGACATTGAGCCCGGCCGGGGAAAGCATCGAGTGATAGTATACTTATAGGTTATATAAGCATGGTATACACAGTTTGTAATCATAATGCAAAGCGTGTAACGTGCGTATATTACACTAGAAATATGTAAAGTTCCGGACTGCAACAATGGTCGAGCTGCAGGCTTCTTGCCGTTCCACTCTGAACCGATCTTACTTTCCTTGAGCTCATCCCGGACCAGGTGCGGGTGCTCCTACACGAAAGTTCAAATTCGACAGGCGTATATTCAAAACATCAGTGAGTAAGTAGGCGCACTTCATCTTCCATGCACGCTGCCCACACCCGGAAGGACATGAATGTAAAGAGCGTCAACAACAACCTATACAAGCTATAACTCACCAGCAACTTGCCCAATCGCAAGCGGCGGCCGCACCTAAAGGCCCAAAACCTTGCGGCCGCGACACGGTGAAGGAACGATGCCCTGGCGACGATTAGAACAAAAACCACGAAGCAATATCCAACGTGAGAGGTGTCTCAACATGGCCTCGCGGCTATAGGTGCATCAACGTGTCGCTATGCAGGCAGTTGGGATGGAAGACTCATGTAATCTTATATTTCGACCCAGAGCAGAAACTTCTCTGAAGGTGCCGGGGTCGGTTCTGTCTCTGTGTGTGCGGCGCGTGTTCGCGGGCTATCAACTTCGACCCAAATCTCAGAAGGTACGGGAACAGCGCCAACCAGAAGCGAGCATCATGAGCATCAGCTGGGTCAGGGCAGGCAGGGTTTTCTGGAGCCCCTTCTGGGAGCGACAAAAACAGCTCTAAATAGAACTGATGGGGTCTCATATGGCCCAGGTAAGCCCTCAAAGCAAACCCTGGTAAACCCTTATACATTCGGCTTATCGAAGCTTGCCTTGCTTTCGCGAAACAGCTGTTAGAAAGCGCATGTCGATACCTGGGGTCGGTCACCATGCACCTGACGTGAAGCCGAACTAACGCTGTTCTGAGGGAAATTGTCCAGCCAAGGGCTCCGCTGGAACAGTGGTGTTCTGCAGCCGCAATTGTAGTGTGACCGATCTTCAAGATCTTCTCAATCTGGAGCTGAAAGGATGAGTGTCGCGGAATCAAGCGTAGGCCATTTCCCAAGTCAAAGTCAGAAGGAGACGCGTGACCATCATGGACGACCAGGACAACGTGAAGCAGTAATACCAGGACAAAATGTGAAGCAGTAATACTTACACACCCAGCAGAGTCTTGATGCAAGGATGGGCTGGGACATGTCAATTCAGGAAGAGGCCAACCCACCATTGGTCGCACTCTTCACGAAAGCTGCAAGCAGCTGCTGAACTGGCTGCTACCACTCCCACAAAGCCCAATTGAACAAGTAGAAGTTCAAGTCACTACCAGGACTATGCAGGATTTGCGGAGAAAAAGAGCATTCTAGCTACCCGGCATGGCCCTCATTGCATCTGGTGTGCTTCAACATGCATCGGACCTGTGCGCCAGAGAGCGGCGGATGCCCGAGGGACGCCCCGCCTGGCAATCCGTTGAAATGCTCGTGTAACTTCAGGGCCTATAGGGTCTCTGGATGTCTGTGGTGTATTGCTTGAGAGGCGAAGGATGAGGTTTTCCATTCGGCTTGCCGAGAAGGCTTTTAAGTAGCATTTGGGGTCGGGTTTTCGGCTCCCGCACGGTCTAACCCCCGAACCCTAGACCCTGAATCCCAGACCCTCCACCCGAAACCCGGATGAATCTGCCGGGCTCACAAGACTTAGACCGCTCGCACGTCGAAGCTGCGGCCGGGCCTTGGAATGCTGGGGTTTAAGGCTTTAAATGCAATTTCTAAACTTATAAAGCGGCACATGGTTGGGATGTTACTAAACCTGCAAAAGTCCGTGTTAAGTTTAAATGCCCATAAAAATCTAACTGTTACCCCAACTATGACACACAACTTAGTGTGTAGGACGGTTCGAACAGTTCAAGAAGCCTAGTTAGTGAGTATACTATGCATAGTTTTCCCAAGACTGATGATAATCGTCGTAATGAAAGTAACCATACACATAGAGCTGCAGTGTAAACTGAATTGAAGGGTTCATACATATTCCGGATTCGGTTTGCGGTTGTTCATGCGTGCTCGGTACAGCAAGGGTCTTCCTGTTGCTGCAGGCCATCAGGATCTGCAGCATTCTGGGGCCGAATGCAGTGGAGCCAGCAACCCCGACCCCGCCTGGCCAGCTTGGGAGCTTCGGTGCAGCCTGCCCGGCAGAGCCGAATCAAGACCATTAGTTTGTAGATAATTGTAAGTAGTATTACTGGTTCCTGCTCCCTCCATTCCAATCTATGTAACTGTGGCGAGTGTCATGCTGGCTGTCTGGTGACGCTTGGACGAGGCGCCCAGCATGCGTATGCCAAGCAGTTCTTGTCATCAGGCGTTATGTGCCACTATGTGCCACAGCCATTCTGCGAACAAGAGCAACATGATCGTAGTCGTCCTTGGCCCTTGCGCGACCTCCCCACCCACACTTTGACTTACATACGCATGTGTCTGGTTTTCCGCCCGAGACGCAAAACCAAATGAACATCCCCCTGAGCAAACCAGGCCCCAACTTTCAACCCTAAGCCCAAACCCCTCGTGACACAGGAAGCGCTTTTCTGAAGAGAGAGGTTCAATGCTCGGAGCAATCGCAGAAACATAACACGAAACAGTGGCTTCTCTCGGTTATCGTGAGGCTAGGGATGAAGGGTTTTGAAGCCAAGTGTAGCGGGGCTGTCGGTATTGACGGGATAGCCTATCCCTGCCCTCTTCTCCGACCCCCGGAACCAACCCCGGCCCTCAAAGCCTTCCTTGGCTTTACCCAACCCTCGATGACAGCAAGTTAGCCCCACCACTGAACGATCCGAGAACTGTGGAGCCCAAGCAAGCCTTACAAAAAAATCCCGAAAGCCCCGGAAGGGCCCTGCCTTGCGGGCTTCGGAGACCGAGACCTCGACCTGCAGGTTCTGCGCAGATATACAGCAAAAATCTGTATGTATGTACATTATAGAAAAAAATTGAGTAAAAGTTATAATATAATATAATTCTTATATTATATATATATATGTGGATATAATTATATATACATATATACATATCGTTGGTTGCGTATCTCATTGGGCCAACTTTTGGTTGATTTAGGATTTGTGCAAATGAAGGACCCGTGCCTCGGCGTGGCGACATCTGGAGGGGTGCCTGAGATTCATGTTTTTCCCTCTCGCATGGCAGGAGACAATGTCCACAAGCGAGGTTACTGAAAGGCAGATCAAGAGATTCATGTTTCCAATTTAGGGTTTCGGCGCTCGCACTCGGACCATCCAGGCGAGTTGAAGGTTGAAAACTTAGGTACATGGCTCGTAACTTAGCAGCTTATTTGGGCTTCCCTATAATAAGGATCCTACTATTTGGGGTACTATATTAGGTCCCCTATTTTCAGAAGCTCCCATGTTGTGCCTTCGCCATGCTTTGGCCAAATGCTTTGGGTTTGACATTGCCGGTCGAAAGGCTTGAGTATACCGTATACCTTCCCGGGTGGTTTGAGCGATTTCTGTTAGAACTTTGGACCTCCGGGTGTCCGCAGGTACGGAGGATGCTGGGAGCTACCTGGCAGCTATTTCCGACTGCGCCTTCAGCATTGCCTGTGTGATCGGGGCTTACGGGGTTTCGTGGCCCTCGGCCTCGTAATGCCTGAGTCTGCCGGTTAAATATCACAGGTAGCACCAAGGTAGCAGAAGCTTGGGGGGTTCAGGATCAAGGATCAAGCCCACTGTGATTTTAATTTAAGATGCAGATGAAGCATGGTTTGAGTCTTGCTGTCGGGTTCGGAGGCTTGGGATTTGGAGGGGATTGTGTCGAGAACCATGACTCATCCACACGGGCCACATACTGCAGGCCAAGCGACAGGGCGCTGCAGCAACTTCGCTGGGCGGTGTCTCTTTGGCAGCGTCCTTTTCCTGGCTTTGGAACCGACCCCCTTTCTGCAAATCACACAAAGGGTGACGATTTTGGCCAGAGTTCAGGGCTGTTTGCCCAAACCTGAGCCTTCGGAATGTTGAACCATGGACCCTCAAATAAAGATAACACATGTATCTTCAGGGTGTTGGGTTGGATTTGGGCGGATCTTGAGCCACCGGGATTGTGTTGGAACACAAAGTGAATCCTAAACGCTGGAACCTGACCGGCCTCGCCTCGCGGCACTCTTGGAAGGGTCTTTTTCCCGTAATCCGGCGAACCTTGCACTTGCTCTGAGACCGGTACGGCTGATGGGCTTATGGCTTGAGGGGCTGAGCATCTTGGGCTTTTGAGCTTTAGGGCATGGGCTTGGGTGGGGCATGTCGCAGGCTGATGTGCGGGCGCCGCGGGGTGGAACTTTCCACCGGTATACAGGTATCATCTTTCCGGTTCTCATGTGTCATCTCAACTTATCCGCTTCCCAAGAACTCAAGCAGCACATCCCCACTAGCCTCCCTCCGATCTAATTACCATACAGCCCGCGCGCAACACGAACAAGCCGGGCCGCTATGCGCATCATCTTGCCTCCACGCCCCGAGCAGAATAGGCGAGGAGGATTTGAGCCGCTGCAGCTGCGCGAAGCACGCGAAACTGGAAAAACAAGGGAGCAGACATGCGCAGCTTCTTAGATGGTGGAGGTTTCGAGGATGAAGCCCGAGGTCGAAACCTGGTGGTCTCCACACAAAGACACAGAAGTTATATATATATATATATATATAATATATATATATATATATATATATTCGCGACAAATGTCGGCTCTCACTGAGTTTGCCTTAGTCGCCTGGCCCTGACAATATCTCCAGATGGTCGCTGCGAGTACGGTTTGGTAATGTTAAAATGTTTGAAAAGGGTGCAAGTTGAAGGCGCTCGGGGACCAGGGGTCTGGGTCGTTTTGGTTCAGGACCTTGCCGTGGCGCGTGGCGTCGAACTGGTCCTTCTTTGCGCACACGCTTGGCTTGTAAAATGCAGAAAGAAGCGAGAGAACTGAAGACCTCGAAGCCCCGAAGACCTCAAACCTCTGAGGCCTCCAACTGCTGAAACCATCGAGCACTTGTCGCCCTAGGACTAGGAGGCCCTACGAAGCTCCCGAGCCCCTGTTCTCTAGCATTCCAAACTTCGTGAGCCCGGAGCTGCAGCACCTCTAAGTTACCCCTCCCGGGGCTCAGAACAGAAAGCTCAAGCCTCCAAGAACGCAGAACCCTTCAGACAGAACTCTTCGGACGAAGAACTTCTGGCGATACGATGGCCCAATCTAGAAGCACGTTGGGACTCCAGGCCTTGACATACCTTCAGGCTCCAAAACCGAAGCCGGAATCGTAGCCAATACCAGCCAGAGCGGGGTGTACCTTGGAGCCTTGCCTGCATGCGTCTTGGGACAGGAGCGCTTTCCCTACAAAGAAACTATCAATAATGGATTTGAGCATTTTCCGAAACAACTTCACTAAAATCCTGCTGGGGAGGGTGCCAGCTTTCCAACAGCCCGGTCGCTCCGGCTGATGCCTGCAGTAACTAAGCCCCAACCCGAACCCTAGGCCCTAGGCTCACTGTGCTCATTCGGGATGTAAACTGTCTTGATTCGGTGCACTGGCTGTTGCAAATCCGAGGGAACGAGGAGACGGTGAGAGGCCCCGAAAGCTTTGAGCGCTGGTGGAACTCGTGGGCCAACTTCACCTCACCAATCCCTGCAGATTCGCAAGTGCAGCTTCCCTGTCCGAACTATCCACCATAGCACATCAACAGGAAGCCCTGGGGAATCTTGGCATTGACCCTGTAAATTGACCTCTTCCCCCGAGATGAGAAGGGACATGAAGGGTGGAACCCTGTCGGCCCTGAGCGCCTGCCTTCTCCAGGCCTGAGCAAGGAATGGAGTTGATACAGTTTTCTGACGGTGGCGGGAAGTGCTTTGATGGATGGAGTTTGTCAGTTCGGTCTCTTGTTCGGGGCGCTGGCCATCGTGCCGTAGATTAGCTACATAGGACTGTGATATTGAAAGCATCTTGCGGCTTGGCATGGGGTCTGGACTTCGGCCGAAGCCCTATACGTCGTACAGTGTCAGGGGAGTGGCCTCAACCCAACGCAACCCTTCTACGATGAATCCGATCTCATCATGTGGCTGCGAGCAAAACCTCCTGTCGTTTTCCGATTCTGAGGAGACCTCCCTTAAACTCAAGTTCCGCGGCCAAGGCGCTTGATGTCTAGGTTGCACATAATCCCCTGTATGATTCGGAGAACACCAACTCCAGATCGATGTTATCTCTCTCACACGCAGCCAAGACTGCGGCATTTTGCCCAAAGATCGATGGAAGTCGTCGACGATCTTCTCCATCTGCTGTGCCTGGCGGGATGCGGACATCGCTCAGGGGGCTTTGGTTCACAAAAGGAAAGATGGTTAAACACCAGCCATGCAACCCCACTCAGGCTGAGCTCTAAAACTTACATCACCTGCAGCACACAGCCACACAGCCTGCAAGCTCTGATTAAACCCACCCACCGCAAAGTCGCACATGCTCAGCTACTTGCACTTACAGAGGGCCCTGCAGGATCATGGCTTGTGCTGCTGCATGCGGTCGGTGTCCGACAGAGCTTCGACTCTCGCAATGCAGCATCGTAGGAAAGGTTGCAATACCGATTCTGCACTGCGGCCACACAGTCATCACACTTTACAATTTTCGGGACTAGGCTTGAGGGTAGTCATGAGGACAACTGCAAAAGCAACGAGCCAGCGGAAAGAGGAGCACGGCTGCTCCCGAACCCACATGACCGTACCTAGTGCTACAGGGGCTGACAAGAACCCTGCCCTGAACCCTACGGCCCCCATACAAAGACTAAGGCCATGTGTTGCAGGTCAAGTGTTTCAGCACTAGCAATACTAACAAGTTGTCTCTGGACGAGGAAGCGTTGAGCACTGGGCCCCTAAACCGCGGTCAGTATACCTCAAAGCTGCTCAGAAACTCAACCAGCCTTGAACCCTGAAACTCTGACTTCACATCCAAGGCCCCTAACCCCTAAGCAACTCTCAGGCCAGCACGTGCTGACGGAGGCGAACGTTGAGCGACCGGACTGCCTTCCGAAACCAAAGACCAGCATTACAGTACAGCAACAATGATAGGACTATTGAAATTAAGAACAACACACAATCACAAGGACATACATAGTAGCCACAGTAGGACAAGTGCTGATGTAGGTAACATGACAATGGCAACCAACGTGTGCACTGCTGGCCTGGTAGCTACGGCTATGAAGCCAAGATCCCTGTGCAAAGCAGCCTAGAAGGACTGCTTTGGTCGGCTTCACTCTGCCACTGCCACGAAAAGCTTGTGCCCGGAAGCCTAGTGGCTCACCGAAACCAGAACCCCCGAGTGGTAAGAAAGCCGTACTGTCGAACCACAGAAACCGAAGCGAGCCATGACCCGGTGATGAGATTCAATGGGCCTACAACGAATGAAGGCTTGATTGAGGTTAGGGTTCACCTTCTTGGCTTTAAACCTCATGGCTTTTTTGTCTGTCTTCCTGGCACATACCCTGCAGCAGAAACAGCCGGTTGCCGGCAGCTTCACTTTGCCAACAGGTCACCAGAAGGCTTAAGGGGCACTTGAACACGAACAGCTTTGGTCTTTGTTTTTGAGTCGAACTGAAGCTCAGGTTCCCTCAATGCTCACCAAGTGCCGACTGCCTTCGCACTAGACTTACTAGACACTATAGACTCATGGAGCCAGTCCTACGGATGCGTGTGACCGACTATCTCCACCACGTCTGATACTGCGGCCACCAGCCGCCATGCCAAGATCGCATGGCCTCTCATGGCGCTGTAAAGCTTGAAAACTGGAGAAACAAGCCCGGGATCCATGCGCACAGGTTATAAATCAGTTTGCACTTCCGGAGGTGATACGAGTTCTTCTAGAAGGCTCAGCAAGTTGGGTTTGGGTTGCCTTTGGAGGAGAAGTTGACGGCTTATCAAGACGTGGGATGCCGAGAGTTGGGAGTTTTGTAGCATAGCGCTCAATATAACTCCAACAAAACCTGCAACAAATCCGAAAGTGCACTCTCTGGCCCGTAGATGCTGGTACAAACCTGCTTGACAAAAGCATAGACAGAAGCAACAATGTGGTATGTACTTTGGCCTTCGGTGTGGTGCTGACCCTAAACCTAAGAGTAACCTAGGAATAAAAAGGATACAGGCGCTTATAAGGGAACCTGAACCCTACAAAAAGGGAATAAGGGCTTGCACTAGGTCCTAGGTAATGCACCTGCAAGCTGGAAACAGTAAACACTCAAGACTCCAGCAAGAATAGAACATGAAAAGCCACTGGACCTGCCTGAGGTCGGAAGTATCGTGCTGCTTGGAAAATTTCGTCTCCTGAAAAGCTTCACCGATTGAGCTGCAAGCATTTAAAGCTTCAGGGTCCTGGGCATATTTGGGTAGCTTTGTGAGCTCAGTCGCTCATTTCTGCTTTCTCCCGCTTCCCTGGGGATAGGAACCTGCCAACTGCGGTTGGGGCTGAGGACGATGCAGGGGTTTTCCAGACGTCGACGTCGCGAATTTATTGCAGGTACTCGGTATGGGCCCGAGTTCATTGAACCACCCCCTCGTACCAGTATGCATGAGGGTTGCAAACAGCAGCCTTGTCCTCTGATCTCTATTCGTCTTTGACAAGCGCAGACTTGTGGACAAAGGACTGGGCCTCTGAGCCCGCCATGCAGCACTTCTGCCTGCAGCGCCCAACCATAAATCCCAAGCCCATCTACATCAAAATTTGGAACCCCATGCGACAATGGTTCAACCTCTCTGACTCAACCATCAAACCATGAGCATCCACTAAACCCGTTGCTCCTCGGTGATTTACATCGGGATCATGCCCTGCGAGGACGACCTGAAACTGCAGTCTTGACGACCGATTAGCATGTAGGGTATAGAACTTCAGGAATATCTTGCGTCAGGCGTCTTCCAACGAGTTGTGCGACCTTTCAGAACCCCAAACCATTGGTAGCGCCGCATATGACCAATCAGCTCTTATCTTGAAGCCTGAGAAGAAGCAACTTAACATCGCAATATGTTTTCTCAAACTCAACAGGTCCAAATCATCACTGGCGAAGGCAAGCGAGTGTGCTAATCGCGACCCCAAGGGCTCTTGAATGGACTTACTGTTTCCACGTTGCCCTTTCCCAAGCTGCGAAGTTGTTGTGCATTGTTGGACGATTGGGCTGGGGATTGTTGTCCGCTCCCGAGTTGCGTGCCACAAACTGATCCAACATTTTTTAGTTTACTCAGATACATATATATATATATATAAATATAAATATAAATATAAATATGATATGATATATGATATCAGGATTGCTTGATCAGGAAGCCCTACAGAACGGTCTTCGGTAGTCCTGGTGGGAGTCGCTGATGGCTTTCCTGGCCTGCCCTTAACCCGGCGGCTTCGGTTGGGGACACCCAGCCCTTCGAACGCCTTCTGGACGAAACAGGGTTCTCGGAAAGCAGTGGCTCCGACATCCTTTACTTTCTCCAAG